AAAAATGATGTTCTGATTCTGATCGACCACTAAGTTGGCAGGCTCTTCCTGTTGTTTGCTTTTGAGGTGATGGAAAATGTAGGCACAGCGCCATGTGAGGCCGAATGCTTGATACGATTTTTCCAGCATTTAATCCTAGACACCTTCAACTGAAGCTCATGTGCTTTAATGGTGCTGACAACCCATTGTTTTGCCAAGTGTACTTGGAGGAGGGAAGGGATGGAATCCACATTCCACACAACGGGGCTGGACAAAGCCGACAGCTGTTGTAGTGCTTTATGCGCAGTTCTCTGTGCGATGAAGGTGTCTTGAGCCGAGCCTTCATTTCGCGAGAGTCGAATGAACAGCTCGTTGAGTCGACCCAAGAGCTTGGCAAGAAAGTTACCTTTTCGGCTTGCCGCACAATGACCCGAAAGTTGCTTGGGTGCAATAGTCTTAGACACAAAAATGGGCGGCTGCCCTCTTGTTTGGGGACCTTCACCCCAGGAAGCAACTTTGGCGATCAAAGAACAAGTAAGGAAATTGTTAATGATAGACCACTTTTGCTCAGCAGTCTGGGCACAATCATACTGCAGCTTATGTGTTTCATCCCAAGAAACCTCAGAATTCTTGGGTTGACCATCCGACTGTTCAAAAACAAGCGGAGCAGATTTGAGAAGGTGAAACCCAACCTGGTTGATAGAGGGCCAATCAAAAACAAGCTTAATCGGTCTATGTTGTTTACTAAAGGCTTCCACGACTTCAGCATGAACAAGAGCAGTGAATGCGATGTCGTTAACAAGAACAGAGTCAATGGAGGTACAACCATCGCCGGGACCGCTAAATGAGCCATCATTACTGAAAGTAAGGGGTCTGACCACTTCACCAGAATCATCAACAATGGCAACAGGGTCATGCCACGACTGGAAGGAAATTGCAGTCGCGATGGCTGGGTATGTCATCGGTGGTGCCTGAAGGTCACCTGCAATTACCACTGGAATTTGACCGAACTGTGAAACACAAGTGAAGATGTCATCAAACAGCTCGTTACTCAAGGCATGGATTTAGGATCCTGGGATGCACTGGTCGTGGCATACACTGAGATGATCAAGGCTCTCTTGCAAGTGGTAACCTGAAACCATGCCGCGACCACCCTCTTGGTCTTGAAAAGGCGCTGATACAGGCCCGTGACATCTTGTTGTGGATCAAACTCATGAACATACGGTGATCCACCAGCAATCAGAGTACCTCCGGGTGGGGTTTTGGTGGACTTGGAACCATGCCAAAGGCCAGGAAGAAGGTCTCCAAAGCAGGGAGTAAAACCAACCCCTTCAAATCAGTCCGGAAATTGTTCTTGCCAATGCGGGTCTCTTGAAGGCAAATTAAATCGGCGTTCCAAGTCTTCCATGTAACATCAGTCATCACCGATCCAATATTCGCCGAAACCAAGGTCATGTTCTGCTGAAAAGGTCCCTCTCCCGGAAATCCCATGCCAGGAGTGCCAAAGGTCATAGGGAAATCCATTAACACATAAGCAATCATGAGGAAGGCACATGTCGTCCTTCGGACTGAGAACGAAAGAAGGCAATTGGTACAATTGCGAGAACCCCAAAAGCAAGGGCACCGAAGATGCCTTGCGAGAAGGCTGAGAGACACGGTGAGGACCTGAAACAGGCAACAGAGAAGACCGACAAGGAAATTCCAATCACACAGGAACCAAACGAACAGGCTCAAAGTCCAAGGCCTCACCCTATGTCTTCAGCATTGGTTGGAATGCTTCGAAGGCGGCGTCTCGCCTGTGGGCTCTCGAGCCCTGGCGTTGGTGTTGGCAAGAATTTGCCGCAAAGCATCCTGGATGGAATCAAATTTGCCATCAACACAAGATTCAAAGGTAGCTTGTCGCGCTTCAATCTTGTCGAAGCGTTCCTCGAGCCGCTGGATCCTGGCTTCATCGGGCTTTGCAAGCACAGGAGTGATGGCACTGGGCGGGGCCCATAGCTTGACGGCGTCGGCAGGGCTGGAGGATTTTGTTTTACCCTTCTGACCTCCTTTGCCACCTTGCTTGTTGCTTTTGGGAAGCAACGTTTCAACTTGCTGGATGAGAATCTCTACGACAGTATCATTGATCTGCAATGGAAAGGACGAAACCGTCGGCTTCTTGTCGGTTGTCACAATCCAAACATGGACTCCCGCAGAGCGGTACGTACGCAACGGCAAAACAGGCAGGCGCAAGGCTTGCAAGGTCGAAGTGACCACATGCTGTGCTCCAGTGGCCGCTGGCCAGCCAGCGAGGGAGAATGTATATTTCGGTACAACATCGATGTTCTCGCGCAACACCCTCGGATCTTCAGACATAAGCTGAGCCCTGGCGTTGCCAACCTTTGCAACCCAAACTCTAGGAGCGATGCCACGTCGCGTAAGCACCAATCCGGCAAGCCCCTCAGCGCCTTCGACGGTCTTGCGGGCGTTGGCAAGCTCGGAGATTGTTGGTGGCCAGAAGCGAGGCAGCACAGTAAGGTCATCGCTGTTGCGGCCTTTCTTAAGAAAGTCTCTTGTCAGCAATGGAGTCATGCCACTGGCCTCAATCAATGGAGTCCTGACCGCACGTGGTGCCTTCAGGATGCACTGTAACAGTGGATCTTGCTTGCTCCCACCAGGGTGGTGGGCAACTCGGTATCCGAATAGGACAGCTGAACTGTCAAGCTTGGGAACCACATCACTGAGCAAAACCTTGAACGAGGCAATTGGATTTTCCTTGTACTTCTCAAGGTCAGACTTCTGGATGAGCCTTCCGTCAATCTCAAGCACGACCTCACACACCGCTCCAGTGGTAAGCTTTGCGATTGGCGCCGGCAACTTGTATTGAATGGAGACACGAACGACAAACATCATGACAAGGCGTTTATATGAAATCTTTGCAGACGAATCGTCGACAGAGACTTCAAATGGTCCCTCGAGTTTGCTGCGCACGTTGGCAGCAGGCGCATTGTCATTCGCGGGCATCAAAATCGCAAGATCATTGGAGCCAGGAGTCTTGATGATTTGCTGGAGGTGGGCTTTTGTCGCAAACACGATGCCACCTCGAGCTCCACCAATTTGAAGTCGATGGTGCTGAGGAAGAGGAGCTCCATCAGTTCCAGTGAAAGGAACTTGATCCTGCGTAGGCCTTGGTGTTGCCTCGAGCCACGGGTCAGACTTCAGCCATGGGTCTTCGCCGTCGGACGAGGAGCTGGTTGCAGCCTTGGCAGGGGCCTTCGACTTTGCGGTGTCATCAGGTTTCATGCTGACATCTTCCTGATCAACAGCCCCAGCTGAGATGGTCTCAGTCGGGAATCGGTTCTCAGCAACTCTCGCCAAAAACCATTGCCTGATGTTGGCAGAGAAATCGATGAGATGGGGATCAGCTGCAGCTGCGGTCCACATGGCTCTTGCCACGAAATGCGCTCGATCAAGCTCATCAGCAAGTGGATGGAAGCTCAATTGTCTCCGCTGCGGCGGTTGTAATGGAACAGTGTTGGCAGCGAGTCGTTGATAGATGTTGGCAATAAGCTGATACCCACACATGTGCATCGGGTTGGCCTGATCATAGAAGTGGATAGAGATCTGAGCGCTCCTTGCCCCAGTGGTCGTCAGAAGATGGTCAACCAAAGGTTGCAGCAGGATGTGGCTGTCAGCAGGAAAAGTGAACGCAAAGTTCGAGGAATCTTCTGCTTGAACCCAATGCCGGTTGACTTCAATGATCCAGATGACCTGGTTGTAAGCTCTATAGTCGGGCAAATAGTCGTTGAAGAAGTGTAAATACGAAGCCCCGACACTCCACGAAGCAGGAGGGCGAAACAAGGTTTGCGGGTTCATAGCACGGGGCCCCTCCAAGGCAATGTCGAGTTCATCTGACGACAGCCATCCCGGATGTTGCACATGGACTCTCGGTCTGCCTTGTTTCGCGTTGTCGTTTATCTGCCGGTTCTTGTTCAAAGGTGGAGTGAACCTGGTCCTCAATTCACAATTGACCACCATCCAGTAGGTTGGACCTTCCAACCTCACAGTTTTGCTGCGCATAAAACATGCTTTGCTGCGTTGTCTCAGGGTGGGTGCATTTTGCCCCAATTTTGCCGCTCGCTTTTCTATGTGTGCGCCAACATTGTTTGGGTCCATGTTCTCTTCGACGCCACGTTCAAGGATAAATAAAATTTCTTGTCAATGGGGTCCTTGAAAGTAATTGGGTCCTCAGAATCTGGGGTCCTTGGTGTTGGTTTTTTTTCCCTCCCACAGCCTTCACATCACATTGGGGCTTTGGGGGGCCGGCCCAAAGAGCTCAAGCTGCTCTTCGCCTCATATACAAACCATGATGTTTCATATCAAAACAATATTACGTTCTCCCGCCACCCCACTTGCAAACAAACAACAAGGAACTTTAAAGTTGTGAGTTCCATCTTATTATTATTATGATGTTCAGTAGCCCCACCCCACTTCACGCCCCACACCCCACTTTCGAATGAACGCAACAGGCCGTAGTGTTGTCAACTCGGGCCTGGCCATTTTCAATACTGTAATGACATCAAAGTTCGAAGGAACAAAAAAGGCTGTAGAGTCGTTAGTTCAGGCCTGTCCATTTTCAACATCAAAGCTTGAACTGATCGCTTGATGCAGCGCTAACACAGACCCATGGTTCATCATAACATGTTTGTATTGTATGCGGTGTTTACCTTTTTGTTTTTGTATTCATTGACGTTTATTTAGACGTTTATTTAGGCCACCTTTGGTTTATTGTGTGGTGTTTCATGTTGTTTGTGTCTCATGCTGATTGTGTGGGCATTGTTGTGTAATTTACAGTGTGGGGGGCCTTTTTTTAGTTATTGTTTTCACAGTTGTTTTGTTTTAAGCAATAGTATGCACAGTTAGTCCGAAGGAGCAGTAAAACAGTAAAACTATGAACATCGCGTCTTCCAACGGCTGGGCACGACTCGAACCGAAGTCACATCACATTCCCAACACTTTTTTCACACCTCACAGGCCGCACGTCAGTCAATGTCTTCCACAACCTGGTCTCCATTGTCAGCCAGGTCCTCCTCTTCACCTTCGAATTCGCCTTTGGCAAACTCGTTCGGATCCGCAGCTTCTTCAGCCACGGGGGCTTCAGACATCACAGCTTCTTCAGCCATGGGAGCTTCAGCTGCGGGCTCGTCTCCCCCGCCCTGGTCACGAGGGCCAACAGTCTTCACCAACTCAGCCTCGGATTGAAGTTGAAGCAGTTTGATTGCGAAAACTCCTTCCCAAAAAAACGAAACCAAGTCTTCGAAATTAAAAATTGGTTCTACAAAATTGTGAACCTGTCTCCGTGTAATTTCTGATCAAAATTATTCAAGATTGCTGCGGGCGCTGAAACTTGGAAGGAAAATACAGGCTTGTTCCAGTGCCAGTAATTACCATCTTGTTTGACTTCATGAACAATCCCCTGTTTGAAGATCACTGTGTGTCAAGAAACGGTTGCCAAAGTCTCTGGTCCGACATCCACCCAGACGATGGCACCCAGGGGGTGCTGGTATGGCTTGGCCACTGCGTATTCACTTGCGTTGGCCATGACCCATGCAAACACACGTCGACCAGAAGGCACAAAGTCTTTCAAAACTTCAGCAGGAACCCGGTGCTTGCTAAAATTGGCTTTCACTGAATCGGCATCTAGCTGGATGACATCGATCAGGTTGACTTCTCCAATCACCGTTTGAGTGTGTGCTAAAGCGATCCCTATGCGTTCTCGGTAGTGCGAATTCGTGGACCGCAACTCCCACACCTTAGAACCTTTCACAATCTCTTGCGCATATGGTGCCTTAACCAGCAAAAGCCGGCTTGGGCCACCCATTCTTCTATCCTGAGCTGGGCTACCTACTAGGAAACATAGTCAACGACGGTATATAATATATGTATATATATATATATGCGCATTATATTGTATGTGTTTTTGGGATATGCATAGTAATAGCTATATCACTAAATTTCAATCTATTTACATATATTACTATATACACATAGATACGATATCACACAATATTTGATATGATATACAAACAAGATTGGGCCACACCCCAAAAAGTCTTCAAGTGGCTTGGTAATAAGTTGGTGAAGCACACACAGAATCAGCCGAGTAACAACCGCAGACCGAACTTCCTCGAGTGGTTTGCCTTCACGCAACATATCCGCCGCAATGTCTGCAATCTCCTTGCATTTGCCAACGTGCTTGTACTTTCCTCCCACCTCGGAACCAAACAAACTGACCTTTCTTTAGGACACCAATTCACCAAAAGTCAAAACATAAGTACAAACAAGTGGCTGTCAGGACTTGTTTTCCATTTTGCTTGATGCCCCAAATGCCAGTCTTGTACAGAAACGGATTTGTCACGTTTCCTGCGCAAAGACCCAAGCATAAAAACACACACACAAAAGGAAAACAACACCACACAAACATGTCACTGACATGCGATGGACGTTTTGTGCACCTCCAGGGTGGGCTGCGGCTGGCCGTTTCAAGCCTTTCGCTGCCGGCTTCTTGAGAATCTGATCTGCATCTGAACCTTCCGCAGGTGTCTCAGCCTGTGGTTTCACCACCTCTGCGCTCGACTCTGCTTTCTCTTCTGGCTTGGTTTTCTTCTTTGGAAGGACTTTCTGTTTTGCCTCTGCCTTAGCTTTTGCCTCTCCCTTAGCTTTTGCCTCTAACTTAGCTTTCGGTTTTGGTTTTCCTTTCGGTCGCGGCTTAGCTTTCGCTTTTGGCGTCTGCTCAGGAGCTGCCTCCTGCCATGTTGTTTGCCAAATGGACGAAATATGACGAAATGACTATGACAATCTATGAGACATAAAATTCAAACAAAAAAACAAAGTCGCCTCTGCCTCAGATCCACTGAGTCCAGAGACCGCCATCATCACGGGCATGGTTTGGACAAAGCGTTCAACTCTCTGTGGAGCAATTGGGCCCTTGCTTGATCAGGTGATTCCCTTCGAAAGGACGAACGGTCTAAGATAGGCGGGTCAAAGGCCAAACCTACCAGTTCCAAGCCGGCGCATTCTAACCTTACACACAAACAATCAGGAGGTCACTGCATTCAGGTCCAACAAAACTCTTTTGGAATGGAAGTTCGAACTGCCAGCTGCCATTCAAAACCACTCGCGAGCTCAGGATTTGGCCGTTGAAAGTCAACGTTCATTGATCCAACTGTATAATTATTCACATGTAACACTGAGCGGCCCAACCCTGAAGCAGAGTGCGCCCAAAGCTATATCCAGCAACTAGGCAACAAGCTGACACTCTCATCTGAAGTAAGCATCACGGTGCAGCTGCAGACAAGTTGACCCAGCTTTTTGCTGGCACGTGAATCTTGCTTACTAGGTAAATCTTGGGCTTGGCACACACAATTGTGGGTGGTGCAGCTGTGTACTCCACCTGTCACAACAAGAACATGTCTAACCAATTCTCATGGAACCAAAAGATCACGCCTCCCAGACCAGTTTCGCACGACCGTTGTTGATCACTTTGTGGAAGTTCCCTTGAAGCCTTATGAAGAAAAGACTGACAGCCATGCCAACTAGGGTCAAACAAAAGAGGCAAGCAACACTTAGTACTATCGTACTAGGCAAGGTTCTAATTGACAGTCAGGGCGCACTTGCCCAAGCGCTTGCGGACGGAGAGAGGCAACGGGAGATGCCGTGGTCGGATTTGGCCTGTAGACATGGGTCACCTTGGAGTCTTTGGCAGCAACGTCATAGCGAAAGGTCACCGGCACAGCGTCAGCACCAGGAGTGGTCACCTTGCATTGAACGACTTTACAAAAACAACCTGTAGCTAAGACCATATTCACAGCTTGCGTTCACCCACAGTTTGCACATCGCTAGGCCATTTGACTCGGATGTTGAATCCAAGTCGCAGGAAAAAACTTCTGGGTCACATTGTGATCTTCCACCTGAACCTCACCCAAACCCTTCTCGATGGCCAGGAATCGGAGAAAGGCGCATAGCGCTTGCGGTTTCTTCTGGTAGCTGATGAGGTCCAAATCGGACTTGAAGCAGAACGGGAGCACATTGCTCTCTGCGCCCGGGTCGCCTACACAAATTCAAACCCGGCCACAACAAGGCAAGTAGTAAAAAAGTTGGTGGTGTAATGGCATGAGGCATGAAGCCCATTAAGGCATGGTTCGGAGAAATCAACAACAAACAAATTTGCTTCATCAATCTGTACAAGTCACTCACAACCTTCTCCTCGAAAGCACCAACTCCGAATCCGAGGAGTTCTTGTGACGCGTAGTTGGTGTCTTCGTCCGTGGGATTCCCGATCCACAGTTGGAGGTTTGATGCAATGAGAATTGATGGCTTTCCAGATTTACCCTCTGACCATCCAATCCTGCACGAACGAAAAATCAGCAACCATTCTCCAACTAGTGACTAGAGTTATAAACAACAAACTAAGAACCAATGAACTGTAACGTACCATCCGTAACACATTACATTGGTTGCAAATACCCCGCGCCCACCACACCTGCCCTTCTTCACTGCTTCCATATCTGCGTCGGTAACAGCAGGCAGTGAAATCTCCCTGGCAATGTCCAGCGGCCTTGCGCCACCATCGACACTAAAGTCGCAAAAGCCCCCGGCACGCCCAACCCCGCGTGGTTCGTTTGCAGCCTGCGACGCATTCTCGGCAGATGCTGGAAAAGCTGTATCGAACTCCTTTTTCTTTGCCATCAAAAGATTGTGCTCCTCGGTGCCACCTTCGAATCGGGTCAGCAAAGGCTGTGGCCACACGGGGTGGTCATGCTCCCACGCCAGGATTTGCAACTCTGGCGTAGGCAAAACTTCTGAATCATCTTGAGGCCGGACCCTGGGCGGGGACGTAGCCATCGCATCCCAGCAGCTGTAGACGTAGTTCCGGAAAGACTTGGTGGCGCGATCCATTTGCTTCTGCGTGACAAAGCCAATGTACAACACGTTCCGCCCATCCCCCAAAGTCCGTTCAATGCACGCCCGGCCAAATTCACAATACCTCAGACTTTACAATTTGCATCAAATGTCATACAAAATCCCTTTGAACAATCCCACTGGCATTGGCTTTGTGCTTGTTCATGAGTTGCTAAACACTTAGATTTTTGATGTGTTGGCATTGCACAAACTGTCAACTTGGACTGTTTTGAGTTTGGAGGGTAGTGAAGGTATTAAATGCTCAGTAATGCCACGCTCCAGAGATCCTACAAACATATAATATGCACACAGCTCGCCGGTAGTGTTTTCCGTTTTCTTTCGCCCAAACAGCTAGCACTGGCAAAACATGTGGTTTTCCAATATAAAGTTAATGTTTTGGATGGTCTCTGCTGCAGGTTTAAAACTACTACAGCATCATTGTTTGGTTCTAATTTTGTAAATGCTTTCAAGGCACTCATTGGGCACCACATCAACCCAGTACACGCGATCCGTATCACCAAGTGGCATGCCGTCCAACAGGCCAGCAATGATCGCGTCCGCACACTTTGTTCCCTTCCTGGCAGCAGCACACACACACATCACTTGTCACGCTCTCACTCACACAATAGTCACCTACAGTCCTCTAAATCAAGCGAGAGCCTCTTGAGTCTTGCCGTTACTTGTATCCTACCACAATCACTCCCTGTTCCGTATCTCTTGCTCTAAACTAAAAATCATACCCTAAACCCAAAAGAATAGTAATCCGATGTCGAGGTTCTGTTCAGCACGAGCGCTTGCGCCTGGTTTCGAATCCTCATCGTAACCCTGGAAATCCGACACCCTGATGAGAGGACATGGTCCCACAAAGCCCTCTTTGACGGCCAGCGAATCGACCCAAGCTGGATCGACGTAGTTGCTGTGAAATGTCGCCAAAGCCGGCTGGCTCATCGCTCGCGTGTCTCTGACCGTAGCTCCTGGCTTTGAATAAAGGATCTGCACGGTGTGGCCCAGCGACAATGAACCTTTGAGAAAGGCATTGTCAAGCAAATGACGGTGTTTGACCATGGCCTGCTGTGTCGTTTGCGACTGCATGATGGGAAATTGGATGAAGCCCATGTTTGTCGATGACATGGAGAGAAGCGTGCAAAGCACTTGCGTGGCATTGCTGACTTGGTTGGCGTTCGCAGGCCACACCGTCGTATCGAAGCCTGCAATGACATACCTGAGCCATGCAGCAGGGAATCCGGTTTTAAGGCGACAAGAAAAAGGTATTGGCGGAGTCTTTGCACCGATCACCAAATTATTCCAAAGTTTGGGCAACAATGGCAAAGACACAATTTAAGAACATGGTTCCTCGACAAGAAACTCTGAACCTGGCCGGCCCCTGAACTGCTCCTTGAATTTCAGGAATCCACTCACGGCTCCCCCATAGGAGTCGTCAACTTGGAGCAGCACACAGTTCTCCGACATCCACTTGTCCACGTACTGCTCTCCTTTCCTTGGCAAGTCAACATTTGGTCAAATGCCACTCGACACCGTTTGAGTCATGCGACCCGTGACAAGCTGGTCCCCGTGCGTGATTTGATTTGACAAGCAAACAATATAGCCCAGAAAGCCGAGAGCTGTCGAGAATCTTTTGTCGCTCCTGCACATACTTGAGATCTTTGGCATGCTTGAACGCAGCCTGTGCCTCGCTTGGCGCCCGATCCTTCAGCGTCTTGATGTCAGACTCAAGCTTCGCAAGCACTGACTGTACATCAGCTTGTCGCAGGTTCTTTTCAATCTCTTGGTCTCGAGCATCTTTTTGGATTCGCTGAGCTTTCTGAATTTGTGCAACAAAAGGCCTGCAAGGGACATAGTTACGTTTGAAGCGCACATGCTTGAACAGTGAACCATTTCAGTCACACCGTGAACCAAACGCACAGTGGCTGCTACAGCTTTGGAACCATGAGCCTGAATGCGGTCACTGCGGAAGGATCGCCTGGAGGAAAGCCATGTTCCAGCACGTGCAAGAGATCTGGGTCGAGAAAGCCAGAAGCAAACTGGCTGCGGAGTGATGACTGGGCTTCCAGAAAGTCTGAAGGTGGGCTCATCCGCTCCAGAAGCCGAAGAAAGTGCAAAAATGCAGCGCAACACTGATGTTTGGCCAGAGCTTGAGGGAATGAGCACGCCTTGCGAAGTGCAGGAGGCGTAGCGTCATGATCCGTTTGAAGCCGGTTCACAAAGAGCATGACCTGGAAACTCTTGGAGCAAACCACCCGTTGACGAGCATGAAATTGGTTGCGCACAGTGCACAAAATGCAAACAAAATGGAGTACTTGTATGAATTTATGCTAGTTGCAAGTTCCTCGGTGTTACGCAGCTGGTCCCGCCAATGCTCGAAGCCGTTGATCCCTGAAGTGAATGTCTCGTTCAGCAGGTCCTTGCCTATCACCTCGTGCGCAATGTACCTCCACATTCCTCTCGACTTGACGCTTTGCGCCAAGAACTCAACTGCACAACTAGGCACACGGGCCATGAGGTTAGACACTGCAGCAGCTTCTTGCTTGCCCAATTGGAACGCCTTCGCCACTGCTGTTGCTTGAGACCATTCCTACGCGTCATGCACGCGCGCTACACACATCAGTTTGCTCAGTACATGAAACACCACGCAAACATCATGCTTATCAGTGATTACAGGGTCTCCTGGAACTGTCGTTCCGCATTCCCCCCACCACTTCTTTGTAAGATAATCACCTGTCGCCTGAAGTGGAAAGCGTTCGGTCTGGCTCGAGTCTGAGATTGGATCATAGTTGCTCCTGGGGTGAAGTGACGAGCACCAAACAATTCAATACATCCAAAGGAATAAGCGGAAAACAAAAGGCCGATCAACCCCTCCTCGGTTGGCGTGAACTTGCGATCTGATGTCCTTGTACTCTTGAAAGCTGGCGTGCAGGGTTCCCCACGAAGCCTGCCAATGGCTGAGCTACAAGAAAACCATTTGTTCCTTTAGCACACCGAACACTGCATCTTATAAACATTGAAGGAAAATCCGTTGAAATACACCAGGCCGCTAGCCTTCACAGAGTGTCCAATTTCATCTTCCAATCCAAGCTCACGGACCCCTTGAAGGCGCAAAAGCAACATTGTGCAACGTTTCCACCCCTTCGTGTAGCCGACGCTAAACGGCGGAAGAAGATGTCCTCAGCACGGCGCAAGCCCTGCAGCCGTTTCCAATTGGATGCTACTTTGCAGTTTTGTGCTTGTAACAATACCCGTTTCACATGACATGAATCAAATTCTATTATGCTGAGTCGTGGCCACGCTCTGTAACCCCCAAACTGTTTACCAGGCCAAACTTTGGCCAAAGCGCCACAAAGCGAGGGAAGTTCAGCATATTCGGAATCAAGGAATTCTGGTGGTATCTTCGTCGCTGCAATTTTTTCGCATCCCGGGATGTTTGGGTCGCTCAGAAATCTCAGTCAGGCGCGGCAACAATGAGCATGATTTCAGACTTGAAAGCCACAGTCACAGCCCCACAAAAACTCATGGGTCTCAGAAATGGTCAGAACTCACAACAATATTTGCAAAAAAATGTATTCATACTGTATCATACTGGGCCCCGTGACCCTTCACTGACAATCAACTCCATCATCATTGCGGCCTGGTCCGGCTCAAAGTACCCCGAGCAGCCTGTGTCGGCCCTCCACGCACACATAAAGGGTCGCAAAAACGTGGAACCTTTGAAGTCGGTGGCGTAAGTGAGCCTCACACGAATCACAGTGTTCATTGGTTTACTCCACAAATCTTTCTCCAACAAAGTAGTGGGCCCCCGGCTCAGCATTCGCTGGGCAAAATAGGTCTACCCAGCGCGCGAATTCCAACACCTTCTCCTGGGAGCAACTTAGTGAGACAATCATTGCTCATGACATGTATGTTTACGCAAGAAAAAGGAAAAGGTAAGTGTAGACGCTACTGGACCCCAATCCTGCGTGTCGTAGATGCTACTGAGGTAAGTGTCTGGGCCACCCTTTGGGAGCACCGTCTGCGAAAGCCTTTGCTTCACACATGTTCACTCTCCCCTGAAACACACACAGAGAAACACACACTCTCGTTTCCACGTTTCAAACATGTTGCTGAAAACAGAAAGGAATCACACCAGAAGTCCAAGAAGCCAGTCTGTCATTTTCTGAACATGCGGAAACTCATTTGCTTTGGAGTGCTTGGATTTGGGCTCAGGCCCAGAACCCCCTAGCGATTTCCGCTTGGCGGGCATGGCCCCACGTCACTACACGGGCCGGTGCCAGTTAGCTGAAAACATGTATGTTTCCGGCGCAGCGAAGCTCATTGTGCAACTGGATTGAATAATCCAAGCCTTGAATGACCTCGCAGCCTCACAGCTATTCAAACATTTAATATGGACGAAACCTGCAAGACTCCTCACTCTAAGGAACCCTACAGTGCAGTAAGAGTTACGATGACTGGAATACTCTGCATTCAAAGAACAGCTCGCGTTTTGTTTTAACCAGCGTTGCTCAATCAAGATCACGTTGCTACGTTACAGCTCACAGGCGCTGCGCAGCCAAGGACTTCCATGCAACTCAAATCACGCATCAGTGAACAACACTGCGTCCAAAAGGGGGAAGGATCACAGGGAGGGATTTGCTACCAGGCGCTCCCAAAAAATGAACAACTCTACAAAATATCCGATGTTTCAAAGCTCACCACCCCACGATTATTCTCCATAGAAAACAAGTCTTCATTTTCCAGTGATACTTTCACTTATTGGATTCAAGGTTCAGGGATATGGTTGGGGCCAAAAAGTGTAACCTTTATTTCTGCCGACATTTAATTTGCACCTGGGGCTTCAACTTGAAGTTTGCTGGTGTCGTCTCAAAGATTTGTGAGTAATTTCTTTTTAATAACACGTAAGTACCCGTTCAGGTCTTTCAATCGTCCTCACAAACAGAACTTGTGAGCATGAGATGATGATGACGATGACAATGATGATGATGATGATGATGGTGATGATGATGATGACGATGATGATGAGGATGTTAATTCTGGCGATGCTAATTTTCCACTTGGATTGACCTGTGAAAAAGACCCCCACATGTCTAGTTCAAAACCATCATTTCAGGCCGGTCGAACCGGACTTGTGGGGGTCCTTTTTTCGCCGGCCAATCCAAGTGGCCAGCTGGTGATGATGATGACGATGACGCTAACGATGACGACGACGACGATGATGATGATGATGGCGATGATGATTATGATTACTGTATATTGTATTGCTTAGTATTATGATTGTATTATATTGCTATGAGTGTTGTGGTGGTGATGGTGACCCTCTATAATCATTGATCATTCGACTCCATGGATTGTGTTTTTTCAGGCTACATCTCTTTGATGACATGGGATTCCAGCACCAGCCCAAAGACAGCAGCATTGGAATTTGGAGGCTTCTGACTGTAGAGTAATGAGATGTAGTGACGGATTCTGGATGTAAATTAGTGACGGATTTTTACATGGAGTAGTGACGGATTCTCAACATTGAGTAGTGACGGATTTTCAACATGGAGTAGTGACGGATCCTACCTAGAATCAGTCACTCCTTTGCATCTCACTGAATCTGTGTTTGTAAAAATGTTGCTTAGCCCTGAGGAAACTAGTGACAAGGCTCCACAATTGGTTCCATACCAAAGAAACCTGTATGCGATACACATAATCTATATATATATAAATCCGTCACTGCTAGTCAAAAGAAATCCGTCACTCAATCAAAAACAAAATCCGTCACTGGGGGGGTGGTCAAATCCGTCACTCAGCCCAGCTTTGAAATTGGGGCCCAGAAGTGACTGATCCTAGGTAAGATCGGTCACTAATGGCTTGTTGTTTTCCTAAGTGCAATGGATTGTTTGAAAGATATTTGCCAGTGTTTGAGGTAAATCAGTGATTGAGTGACCAATCTTACCTAAGAACCGTCACCACCATGAAGTCAAAACAGTGGTTCAATTTGAGACTGATTTCCCAATCTCACAACTGATGGGTCTAAACTACGCTGCCGCACCTAATTTTTTAGCTTGGACCAACACGTTTAGGGTTTAGGATACCGACAAAAAGATTCAACATGCCTACAAACATCTACAAACCTTCTCCCTGGGGATCCAAGGGGCTTCAAACAGAAAGGCTCACTTGCCCTTCTTGCCCTTTCCACGTCCCTTTGGTCGCCCTGCCAAAGGTTTCGCTGCCGCGTTACCAGCACTAACAGATATAGAAGCTGCTTTCAGCGCTTCTGCCCACGGAACTCCGTAACTCCAAGCAACAGCAGCGGTCTCATGTATCAGCCGCCGGCGGGCTTTTTTGACATAAGATGCCACAACTTCCTTGCCGCCATGACCACGGACAAGCCTGTCACAGTGAAGGCACGAGTGGCAATGAAGTTAAAGTTTAAAAAGGTTGCCCAAAACATCACATTAGACAAGTGGAACCCCCTTTCTATCATTCTGATGTTGGCTCTCAGCAGTGAGAAGAATCACACTTTGCGTTGACAAGAAGCCGGAGAACATTCGGGTCAATCGCAAACGCATCGGGCGTTGGTGAAGTGACATGGGAAGTAATCAGTTTGGGCCCGGTCGTAATCATGCACCTCGCAAAAAAAATCTTCATACAACGTGTAAGCCGCATTGCATTTGGCACTAAATTTACGATTGACCCCAACACAATCCACAAATTGAGAACCGAACGCTGAGACATCCAAGAGATCTCCTCGCGGAAGAGTCCCGCGAACCCAATTTTCAAGCCAGTCTGCCCCTTTGTTCAAACTGAACAAAGGGTCGCGAAGAGCAGGAAGATACTTCTCAATGTTGATCACCATGTCCGCTGCGATTTCACGCTTGCTTGCCAAGCCTGCGCCGAAGCAAACCCCAAAAATGGTCCCGTTTGTGGTTCGGTTAAAAAGCATTGCATCAGTATTGTGAATCGACTCAACTGCCATTTGGACACTATGAAATACAAACAGTTCAATCAAGTAAACTCTGCTATCAAGTAAACTCTGGTCTCTGGATCGGCCTACGGGTAGGCCAACTGGAAGCCGCTCCAAAGCTAAACGGCGTGGGTACAGCAAGAAAGTGTTGCTGAACTCACCACTGGCCATGTACTGTTTTGTCCTGGAGCGGAATTTGCCCACTATCTAAACATGAAGAAATGTCTTGACTGAGACTACACCTTGCACCAAAGCAAACCTGAAACGGTCCGTAACACCACGTCATCCGGGTGCTCCGGATAGGAGCCGTCCCAAACGGAGTTGTCGATCTCGTTGCTTTGCAATCCTGCGAGTCTTTTCGCAACCACTGTCATGATTTGTATTGTTAGCTGAACACACACACACACACAGTTTTCGGGTTGAAGTCTCAAAGCAAACACGCAAACACCTGCAAGTATGCGATGCAAGCTGAAGACTGTAGCTCTTGGCAAAAGTCTGTCCGAGGCACAAATAAAAAAACTGATGCTGGTCCAGGAAATTGACACTGACACGACTGTTCCATTGAAGGCAATCATCTATATGTCTCCAAAAATGAGGCACCAAATGGCTAACTAACAAACGCAATGGGTTGTTGGCCTATGCCATTGACTTTGGCCTATCAAAGGCAAAGGGTCCAGAATCCACTCTTCTTTCAAAAGCAAAGTAGTGGGGTGCCCCACTGCCGCCGATGCCCTTCAAAGTGAACGGCAAAGCTTCTGCGTAGAAGCCAGTCCTGAAGCACGGAACACGGGACATCAAACAAAGAGCTGACACCAGCACCCTATGTACGTTACAGCCATTAGCGGCAGCATCACCCCAGCAAACACACACATGATGCAGGGACACATGTCATGGAGCAACATGGAAAGCCACCAGCCACCAGCCCTCTCAATCAAAGGCCAAAAATCCATTCTCGCACGCTGTCCATCATCACAACGTGACGTTCGGCTTCAAATGGGAACTTTGACTTTGCAAGGAAGTCTTTGATGGTGGCGACGACGTCTTCGGGCGTTTCCAGGGTCCGTCTGCGCAGTAGGTGCTTGCTGAGGGAGCCGAAGATCTGATCAATGTCTTCATGTGTGTGCCCTGTGCGCAAATACTGGCAAGTGATGCTCTTGACGTTGTGTGCTGAAACCTGGGGGTGAGCGCCAACACCACCATCTACTATCTACCATTTTTTGATACAAGGGTCAAGCCTGCTTAGTACTCATGAAACACATGTTCAAACCCCAGACCTGAGCGCATGCCCACCTCAGACCATTGTTATTCTTGAACTCGCGGCATGTGTTGTCGTGCTGGAGCACGACGTGCGTCGCCGGCAAACAAAGCCCTTGCTTCTGGAGGATTGTGAAGGCGCAACTCAAGATCTCAATCGATGCGTTGCCATCTTTTTTGGTATCGGGCGAAGACACAGCGAATAAAATCAGCCGCCCGTGAACGACGCAACACGAGATATGCATCCGGACACCCTGGAAGGAAGCGAAGTCTTTTCCTTTCAGCACAGGGTCTCTGGGAATCTCCCATTTTCCCTGGTCCATCCCATCACATATGCATGTGATGAGGTTGCCTTTGGAGCGTGACAAGCCGCGCAATTCCCAGTACAACATGCGATCCTGGTATTGGTCTTGGAGATGCCGGTGGAAGAGTCGAAGCTGCTGCCGCCTTGCCGCCAGGTGACCGCCTAAATGGCGGATCATAGTGCGATGTCTCACACATGTACTGCACTGGGCATGCTGGCCACGTTCTCGGAATTGAAGGAATGAGAAATCAGCTACCCATACCTCAAGCCATGGCAACAAAGGGTTGCAAAGTGACCAATGGAGTGATGAAAAAAGGAATGAGAACAATAACCAACCAACCAACCAACCAACCAACCAACCAACCAACCAACCAACCAACCAACCAAGCAGCGGGCCAAGCAAGCAGCCAAGCAACCAACCAACCAACCAACCAACCAAACAGCCAACCAGACTGGCAGGAAACAGCGGAGACATTAAAAACCTCCAAGGCAAGGCGCCCTCCAAAACGTCGGAAAACTAGCGGGTTCCTCCAGGGCTGAGACCAAGCGGTATTGCTCCCAGAATTCTTTCATTGCCCCCGGCGGAAGCTTGCGAATCTCTTTTGCACCTTCATGTGGACCGGCTAATCTATCACTATTCAACTTGATCGCTCCTCTCATTTTCCGTGGCTTCCGTGTTTTCTCAGCCAGAAGAAGCTTGGGTTCAGAGCTTGCCGGTCCAGATGCAGCACGGGCTTGATTGTTCAGTTCTATGGAGTAAGCATCCTTCAAAGCACCAGGCACTGAAGAAGATGAAGATGGGAAAGAATCAAAGGCATCATCTCGAACATCTGGAAGCACTTCAGCGACCGACTCATACAACTGAGCTAAATATGAAGCAACGTCTGACCTAACGTCATCCCCTTTCTTGCCTTTTTTGTCTGAAAAAGGACGTTGCAAGAAACGTAAATCGACTGGAGCTGAGTCCGCTCCTTCCAGCGCAGCATTGTACAAGCGCTTGCAGCGGCTCGTGCCTGAGGGGCGGATAGACTTTAATATCTCACTCAACGGTTTCAAGTTCAAAGTTCCCAGAAAGCAATAAACTTGACTCAAGGACAACTATATATTGGCGCAAAAGTTTCACAGGCTAGCTTCAAAACGAGGCACCCATATGGTGCAAAGATTTCCATGCTCGTCGGCAAGTCGGAACATCTAGCAAGTTCCAGCTCACAACATCTGAGTCCTCGCTCTGACGAACCAAGTCCTTCATGCGCTCGAGAGCCTGAGCGTTGAACCCCACGAAGGAAACACCAGTGTTCTGGACCACGTCATGCACAAGCTAGCAGTTATAATATCTTACCAGAAAAACAGTCATTGTAGTTAACAGTCTGCATGGAAGGTAAACAATGACTTTATCATGGAAAAATTGTGAAATATTTCAAGTAGCAAAATTGTCTTGATCCATCTTCTCCAAGTCAAACCAGTGCCCGCGGTATTGCGTCAATTTCCCAAAGATCTCTGGTGCGCTGAACTGCTGCAAGCAAGTTTTCTTTTTGCAGGGGCATTGTTTACCCAACAACATCCTGAGAGCGCCCTCCGATTTGAAATCCACAGGCGCTGGGTCACCCCTCTTTCGTTTTTTGATCCTGGGTGCAGGACCTTGCTCAGGAGCAGATTCATCTGAACCACTCAAGGCATCATTGTCTGGCTACTAGGCATTGGGCAAGGTCACGGACCTGGCACACACGAAAAACTTCCAAACTCAGAATGTGTAAAGGTGAATTTGACTTGCCGATGGTGGTCTAGGATTTAAATTTTGATGTCAATCTAAATGTCAACACATTTTGTTTTCCGACCTCACGATCGCCACCAGTAGGCGTCTGCTGACCAAACCTGTCACTTGTTGCAAAGATCTGCAACACGTGTTTCACGCAGTTGTTTTATTCCCAATGAAGGAATCGAGACTTGTATTACTTGAGTTCAACCTTTCACGCATGTAGCGCCAAAATTGTTTAAACAACTTGGGGGCGGACAAGTCTCAGCTCAGCAGCCTGGCGACAACCAATGAACAAGTGGTCCTCCAAATCTCTGAAGTGGGAACATGTATGGTAGAAAACTCAACCCGACAATGTCAGGCCTCTGGAACAATCGCTACAACAAGGGCGAGAGTGAGCGAACGTCACAAACACATCATTGAAGTGCTCCATACTTCAATATCATGTGGCAATGTGACAAAAGGCAACATGTGACATATGATCCGTTGTAAGTGCGATACTAACAATGCTCAAAAAACCAACAAGCTTGAAGCACAACAGCGGCATCCCGGACGGCGCTCAATCAAACGTCACACTGCTCAGCAAACTAAAAGGCTCACATTGAAAGGACTCAACGTTCACCTGAGTTTTCAAGCTCAAGTGGTCTCAGCCAGTTAGATCAGTGGTGAGATCGTCGTCCGACTGATGGTGTAGACACCATTGAGTGCTCCTCGTCAAGTTGGAACGAAGTGGCCCTGAGGAGGGCCTCTCGCACCTCCAAGTGTGCAGCAAAGCTGGCTACGCTCAGCTGTGCAGTCTCATGCTTCTCCAGGCATTCCACAAACCTTGAAGTGGCCGCACCCCGCCAGTATGCTATGTGGTAAACCAAAGGAGCCAGCATACCCAAGTTATACCGTTGCTCGTCACTATCATCCACCAGCCGCAATGGCATGATCGTGGAAGGAAAGCTTAGAACTGATTCTCACGCCCCAACCTAAAACCTAAAAATCTACTCTGACAGTCTGGGGTCAAACACATGTAATTGAGCGCAACAGTCACATCTATATTGAATTGGCATGCCACACTTCAAAGTTCTGCTATGAAACCTTTTGGTATTCCTCTCAACACCAATCAACAAATGCCATGCATATGATGGATATGAAAAACAATGTCAAGGTTGCACATCTACTAGCTAAAAGCCGTCGCGTTCAAGTGTGGCAACTTGTCGACACAAGGTAGTTGCGGATGACTTCCGATTACGGTATATGCATGTTTGCAATTGTTTGTCCGAAGCTTCTTTTTGGCAAAGAGCCAAACACAATGCAAAGGATGGGTGATGCTCCAAATGTGTGAAGAGAAGTTCCTACTTCAAACACCTGATTTGTTCAAACAACCTGTTCATGTTGTTTGCTTGCTGTACAGTTTGGCTCACCACCGCGCGTTGATCCGCCATCACCAAAACTCTGAATAGATTGAATTAATCAGATCGCTAAATGAAAGCTCAAAGCCTCCAACTCCAACATGTCATGCTTAGCATCTATTTCACAAACTGGTGCTAGCCACCACTTTCAAAGAAACAATATTATCCACCCTTGTTTTGCTCCGGGAGGCCGACATACTACTCGGCAAGCTTAATTTCAAGTTCAATCGTCAAAAGAAACTATCATGGACAAGACTGCGTCTAGGAACGCAGGTCTTCTGTAGCAGGGCTGGCTTCAACCATGTGGGCTTCAGAACCATAGCTAACACAACAAAATCTAGTTTCTAGATCATCATCCATACAACAAACATCAACCATGATCTATTGAAGATTCATGGACGCACCGACAATCTTTAAAAAACCAGCTTGAAGCTCTCACAACCAACTCAAAATGCTAGCAGCTAGCGAAGCTTGCTTGGGCACCACAATGTTGCCAAGGCAAGCAAGGCGTTCTTTCGTGTCGGAATCACACTCGGTCGTCAGCCAGCTTTGCACTGGCACACCATTTGATTGATTCCACGGCTGATTGGCGCAACGATCAAAATCAATATCCTGCGCAACTCAACACCACAACATACCGCCACAAGTTTCAAAAGTGATGCTAAACCTGTCCTGCCCATCCCGCGCCAAAGGGTTGCAGTCTTTATCATGAAGCAAAAGAAATACCCGGGCACGTCCAGCCTCATGAAAAACGTATATAAAAATTGGAAAAAAGGAACTGCCTCGAGTAAGCTCAACCCTGAGACCCGAGCTGGAAGTCCAACATGACACAAGCGCAAGGATGTCCAAGACATCTTGAGGTTCCTCTTGTTGCATTCCTGCGCGTAAAGTCATGATTTGAAGCCCTCCTTACCTGAATCTCTCTCTAATATACATATGCATGGCACTGCCGTGTATATATATATATACATTATCTTGCGTGTGGATGATGTGAAGACTGAAGAATGTTTCAGAACTTGAACTGACGCAGGCGTCCTTCACCAGAAAGCTCCACAATCCTCTGCAGCCGTCCTGTTTAGACAAGAGAGCGGCGACGTTTTCAAGGAAGAGCATCCGCCTCAGAATCAATTGTAGCAACAAGACTGACATGGCACTGGAAAAAGAAAGAAAGAGAGAAAGAGAGAGAGAGAGAGAAAGGGAAGAAACACACACAGTTCTTCTCTTGCTTGGCAAACAAAGCATGCATAATACTCGCATCATGAATGAGGCAGCGACATAGATTCCCCTTCGTCATAGACCCTGAACACTTCTTTAATCAAAGAGCTGCGAGCATCCTTCAATCCGGCTTGCGCCCCGGCTTGGCTGACTCCCTGAGCATTGCGCAGTCACTTGATTCACTTGGGGCTTCCAAGCGTATCATAGTAACTTGTTTAGTACGTAAACGAAAACGCGTCAAACAAATCGCCTGGCAGGGAAATCCTGCTAGGATGGCAGCGGCAAAGCGTGCGGCTCTGCTAGTAGGGTGGTAGCTCCTGACGTCCTCATGAATTTGTCCAACAGGTAAGTTTCCCTCCGACATGCGCGCTCGAAGCACGCGCTGGCACATATCATTCTGCTCCACGTACTCCACTGCCCGAAAGTGCCTGGCATGGAAAGTCAAGAGCGTGTCAAGTATTGAGTTATGACTGTCAAACCCAATGCTGATTAACTCTTTTTAGTTCTTGGCATTGGTGAAAGTTCAAGTTGGGTTTAGTTCTTGAAACGCTTCTTCGGAGGCTCTACCCCGCTACCGTCGGTCAGAGTTCGCTGCACTGTGTCCTCAAGGCAGAAGCCCATGTGCATCAAAAACTTTCTCATTGAACAAGCCATGAAACTGCTGCAGTGTGTGCTATTTTTTGTGGCTGGGGCTCCAAAGGACGGCAAGTTGGAGAATCGCCAGACTTGAGAGAGCTTGTTTGGTCGTGTTGTGGCCACTGCACCCATTCATTTGTTCGCCAAATCCACCTCAGGTGTGTCACTCTAAAGTTACAAATGACTATGGCTGTGCGCAACCAAACAACATGATCGTGGTGGATTAAAACAAGCGACGTGGTGTCATGCCACCGACAAATCACAGTCGCGTCTCGGGACACCCTTGGGAACAGCGCTGCAAAAACCAGGACCTGCTTTGTTGAGACTCCACTGCAAACCATATGAACAACATTGACAATTATTATCGCAGCCAAAAGGCTTGACTTGATTCACCCCTACAGTCCGCACTGTTTGCAGTGCATTCGGCTCCATGGCGTTTCTTGCAACAGTAGAAGATGTATGTTTGTGCATTGTGTAGTTTTTAGTTACCTACCGATGTCCTTGTCAATTGTGCAGCTGCTGCAAAATGAAACATTCGCTCGGTGAGCTTCAATGGGCAAGGATGGCGACAAGCATGCGGTGAACACTCAAAATTCAGGTGCTCCTTGAAATGAAAAAGCATCTGAATCCAGCACAGTTTATGAATCAGGGCGGGGCAACCGACGTAGTCCCAATTCCAAACCACCAACGCCAGTGAACAAAGAAATGGCTGGGACTGGTGGCCTTCCTGCCTGCAGCGCTCCCTGCTTTGCATGGCACACACTTGCACAAGTCCAACTGAAAAACCTTTGCGTAAGTCTGATTGAGATGCGAAAACAAAGTCATCAAATTCCAAAGCTTAAATCTTGCGCCTCCCACTCTGGGAACTCAAGATTGACCGCTGCAGGGTCACATGCGCCCACGCCAGGATAGCTCCAACCCAACGGCAACCCGGAGAAGTACTCTGCTGCGTCGATGTTAAGGAACCTGCCTTCCTTGAGGCACAGCTCCCCAATCGCTTGTTGATATTGCTCACTGTGCTGTATTTGGTTTGCTAAATCCTTGGTTGCTCAACTAAAACTTCCACAGTAGTAATTACTGAATGACTGCGCTGCCATGATTGCCTGTGTGTTGAACTGTTGAACTCTAACCCTGAGCTGTGCACGGTGATCCCTCGAATCGAAACATGGCCCTTGCACGCAGTGGTGGTTGCGGAAAAGCATCCTCAGCGACAAAATAAGCGACCTCCCACACTCCCGAACTACAAACTTGTGACAGCCTCAGACATCGGCTGATGGTCCCATAACTGGTCGCCATCTTCATTCCATGGAACTTCAGCGCCCCATTGGCCTTGCAGCCAGGAGCAGTGGCCTTGCTGACCTTAGGCGTCGATAAAAATAGAAACACAATGGGAAACATGTTTGCTTCAGGCATTTGAGGCAAGAACCAATTTCATGTTCAACTTTTTGCACTTCTTCAACGGCACGTTCACGCGAGTAAGGCTCCGCTTGTAAATCGAACCAGACGAAGGCAACTGGCCAAGTGCAAAAATGAAACAGTTCACGCAACAAAAACCGAAGAAACCATTTGACATGAAAGTTAACCCATGGCGCCATGCCTTCATGTCCTTCCTGAAAGGCACGGAGGATCCGATCTGAATGGCCTTCCGATAGTTTCTCTTGAGCAGTCATAATTGTAAGCGAACATGCGGTGCATATTTGTTCACTTTCTGAA